AGGCGTGCTGGCAGTGAGGGCATTCTCTGACAATCTGCCTGGCCTGTGCCCATGTCAGGTGATACCTATCCCTAAGACTGGCAGCATTGTGTAGTCTTTGATGTTCCGCTTGTGGGAGTAGTGAATGCCTTTTGTGTTAGCACGTCTGCATTGGCATGTCCCAGGGAAATGGGTGCCGGTAATTGTGTGTGTGCTCTTGTGTGTCCTGTGAAGAAAGGGTGAGAGCGTGTTCTTATCTGGTTCTGTAAAGTGAGGAATAATCTGCCGATGTCAGAGTATGGATCTATCTTCAACTTCGCTGTTTCAATGAAAGAACAGACTTGCATTGTGTAAGCCGAGTCACTGATTATGTTGATAGGCTGCTTCATATCTTCAAATAGTAAAATGATAGCAAATATCTCTGCTTTCTGAGCAGAGGTGTAACAGGTTTGGAAGGAACGAGAGGAGGGACCCCAGTAGGCTGCCATGCCATTACTGGAGCTGTCTGTGAGGTTTTATGGGGGCTCCTTCAATTGGCTTGTGTGAGAAAACCTTGCTGAGGGTCCAGGGAGTTTGTTTTAGAAAACCCCAAAGTCTCCCTGGAGGATAGTGGCAATCTAGTTTCCCACAAAATTCGGCTAATGCTATCTGAAAATCCGTGGCAAGTTCTAAAAGGCTCCTCACTTGAGCGGGAGTGTAAGGCAGAGTTATGACAGCCGGATCAAACCCACATAGCTATCGGCAGCAGAGCCTGCCTTTGGATACCAGCTGGGCTACTTGCGTCCTATAAGGCCAGATGACCTTAGGGCCAGTGTTCCCCTAAATGTATCCACTCGAGAGGCTTGCCCTCTTGAGCCAAAGTAGCAGTGGGAGTGACTGGAATGTGGAAAATAATAAGGTGTATGCTCATGTCAGGATCGACTGGATAGATCGCCCCCTGGCTGAGCCTCTCCTCCACAAACTGCAACTCGAGGCGAGCCTCAGGGGTGAGCTCTCTGGGGCTATTCAGCTGAGAGTCAGTCCCCCTTTAATATTTCAAATAATGTTTAAGTTCCTCTGTGGGGATACCTAGGTAGGGTCTCATCCAGTTTATTTCTCCTAAAAGTTTCTGGAAATCATTCAATGTCTTAAGATGGTCTTTTCTAATCTCAAGTCTCTGTGGCTTGATCGTGATCCGATTTATCACTGTCCCTAGATAGGCGTGGGGACTGGTAGTTTGAATCTTATCAGTAGCAGTTAATTACTAATCCTGCCTGAGAGATTGCCTCACTGATGTGCATATAAGTCTGCTGCAGCATGTTACTGTTAGCAGCAGCTATCAAAATGTCATCCATGTAGTGTATTATATACGCCTCAGAGAACAGTCTCCTGACTGGCTCTTAATACCTTCCCTACAAAGAATTGACACATTGTAGCACTGTTTACCATGCCTTGAGCCAGAGTTTTGAGATGGAATCTCTTATTAGGAGCTTTATGGTTCAACTTGGGCACAGTGAAAGCAAATCTTTCATGATCAGCAGGATCTAACTGAATAGTATAAAAGCAATCCTTCAAGTCTATCACAGTCATATCCCAGTTTTTTGGAATCATGCTAGGTGAAGGGAGACCTGGCTGCTACTAGTAGAATTAATAGCCCTTAAGTCTGTGAGCATCCTCCAGCTGCCTGATTTCTTTCTAATTACAAACATAGGGGAGTTCCAGGGGCTAAGAGTCTCTGCAATATGACCCTCTTTCAGCTGTTCTTGTACAAGATCATGCAGAGCCTGCAATTTTTCATTGATGTTATAAATATCCAAATGGCCCGTTGCAGGAAAAAAGTCCCCACCCCTGCAGAAGAACCCCACTGTCGCCTAGTGAATTCTGACTCAGAGTGGAGCTGCCCCTCAGATTTCTAAGGTGGTAGTCTTGGAAACACTGCCACAGCGTTCTGCTGTGGAACGGCTTGGCAGGTTTGAATCACTGATCACTCAGCATTGAGCACTGGACCACCGGGTCTCCTTTCTAAAAAGTCAATCACCTGTAACCCCACACTTACACTATGTCAACATTTTACCAGATTTATTTGTTGTGTCTTTCTCAGTATTTTTAAACACTGTTCAAAATTTAGAAACCAGTTTCTTGTACAAATGAAAAATTTCCCATTTTGTATAGTAGTCCCTGCAGAACTTTAAAATCTTACCATTTCCTAAAAACCTGAGAGAATATTCATGAATCTTAGGAGATTTAAAAAATTATCCATTTCTTTTTACATGCAACTTGAAGTCGAATTATGGTGTTTGTTGCATGTTTTTTAAGTCCATCACACTAGTGATATTAAAGCCCTTGAAAATTAAAGATGGGATATCAGCATTATGAATTGAACAGATGGTGCTTTGGGAGAATAATGTGACAATCCCACTCAGTTAAGTAAGTAGTTAATTTACATATCTTAGAGACCTGTTGGAATTACTTGAATTAAAGTTAAAGACTGGAGTAGAGGTACTTATTAAATGACACGAGTTACATCTTTGTTTTAGAAGTGTTTTTTAAAAATGCACTACAGCTAATGTTCTCCTAATTTACATATTTTTTTCATAGCTAGTTACAAGACTGTACTTAGTCATAATGCTTAGGCATTGAATTTGTGTAGGTTTTCTATTTCCTGTTTAAAGTTGCAAAATTACTACAGAGTCCCTGCTTCTCTCTCATCCAGTTACTTCTGTTGTTAACAGCTTTTATCTCTATAGTACACTTATCACAACAAAGAGCCAACATTAATACACTGCTGTTTACTAGACTCTGCATTTTATACATGTTATACTCGATTTTCCCCATTATCCTTTTTGCTATCCTTGGCACTGAAGTTCTTCTGTGTGGAGGAGTCCCTGGGTGGTACAAATGGTTAACACGATCAGCTAGTAACTTAAAGGTCAATGTGTGAGCCACCCAGAGGCACCTTTGGAGAAAGGTGTAGTGATCAGCCATTGAAAACTGTGTGAAGCACAGTTCTACTCTGACAAATGAGGATGAGCTGACCTGATGTCGCAGCTGGGGTGTGTGTGTGTGTGTGTGTGTGTGTGTGTGTGTGTGTGTGTTGAGGGGGCGGGAGGTTAGACAAGATGAACCTGGTGCATCGTACGGGACCAGAAAAAAAAAAATCTTCAAAAAGCAAGACACTGGTGGCAAGTTAAAGGAACACTACAGGCAACCTGGAAAGGTTTCTAATGGCCAAAATTGGAACAGTCTGAGCTATAAAATAATCTATCTGTATCTCCTCAGCTGTCTCTATCATGTCTGGACTCTTGTGCCACTTGGTTCATTTCATTTCGGCCTGGCCTTCTTCCTTTGCATATCTGAAACTTTCCCCCACCCCGACCCCCCCTTTGCAGCATGAGAAATCCAGCTTCTACCTCTGCCATCCACTTTATGTGTTCACTCCTAGCATATTTATGTAGTGTTTCAGAATTGCTTACCAGCCCCCTGTGAGAAACAACTAGAATATAGTGTTTATATGCATTTCCTTTTTCTTCATTTTATGGTAGCCAAACCACCAGTACACTTTGTTAGAAGTGAAAGCAAAGATTTTTACTGGTATAAGGAGATCCACGTTTCAGAAGATGCACCCAGCACCCCAGTAGAGTGTTCTATATTGCAAGAAGAGAGTAAGGTTTTATTAGATGGAGTAAACATGTTCACAGGCACAAGGAGTGCATAACAAAAAGTTTCAGGGATGTTGTTAAAGGACAATCTTTCTTAACATTTATGTTTCTATGGCCTAACTTCCTAGAGCATGTTGACCAAGGATCAAGCTGCACAAACAGAAAAGACAAACATCTTTTAGCCGATGACTTCTTAGACAAGTTACGATTTTGATCTTTTTTCCTTTTGGGTTACAAGCAATTAAACTTTACAAGAAGCTCCGTGTTCTCTTTAAGCAGCAGGAACGGAGATGTGCTGCAGTTTAATTTAGGTCTGGCCCTGCCACTTGAGTCATGCCACAGTCATTCTTGGTTTGGGTTTTGCTTACACATTATCCAGTCATAATAGTTGTCAGAGTTACATACTCAGGTCCCTGTCTGTTTCCCCACCTCCTCAATGGAACCACGCCATACGTTTGTAATAACAATTCAGTTCTTTTCTCACAGCCTGCCTTCCACTCGAGGATTTCCCCTCCTACCTCCTGATTTGTTTCTAGGATGTATAAAGGTCCACGCTTTGGCACTGTGAAGGATAGTATTTTAAGTGACCGGGATTAAATCTCATCTCTTTTTATTCTTTCTCATTGGAAAAGAAGAGCCCTCGTGGTACGTGGTGCAGTGATTATGCGTTGAGCTGCTAAGCGACCACAAGGTGCACAGTTTGAAACCACAAGCTGCTCCATGGGAGAAAGATGAGGTTATAACTGAAGAGTTAAATTTTTGGAGAAGGGTGGAAGTGGGAGTAGTTCACCTCTGTCCTAGGTTCTCCTGTCCCTGATGGGTACCTTCTTGTCTGTTCTTGCACCAGAATCATATCTTAACATGGCTTAGTGTATAGTATGTCTAGGCCCCCTTCAAGGCTTTCTTCATTTATTTAAAAAAAATTTTGTGGCTCCTACATACTGTGACCTATCACTTTGAGTCACTTACCAAGTAGAAGGAGCTCTGGTTGCACAGTGGTTAAAACAGCTAAACTGTGAACCAAAAGGCTGAACTTTGAATTTACTAGCCACTCCTTGGGGGACATTCTGCTTCAGTAAAGATTTGCAGCCGTGGAAACCCTATCAGAGTAGTTCTACTCTGTCCTATAGGCTGTTTTAAAATCGTAATCAACTTGATAGCAGTGGGTTTCATCAAATAAAATATGTCAGCTAGCCAACCAACCAAATAAACTGGAAAAGAAATGGACAGAATTGTGTTAAAAATACCCAACAGCTGCTGAAACCTGACAGCAGTCTGGACTTGGTCTTGATTTTCTAGAGACTGTCTTTGAATGTTTGCCGCTTGAGACCTAGAATATTAGTGATAATCTTCTAGTTGATGTTTTCATATTTTATTCCATAGATTCATCTGAAAACTACATTAACACAAAGACTTTTGAGGGCTTCTCTGCCATACATCTCGCTGCAAGTCAAGGACACTGGAAGGTCATACAGATTCTATTAAAAGCTGGGGCAGATCCTAACGCATCAACTTTAGAAGAAACCACGCCACTGTTTCTAGGTGAGGTATGCTATTTTCATACAGGTGCAATTGATTTCCTCCAGCCCCCTCCCCCCCCCAAAGAAACAATTTAACTTTCCTCTGAGCTATTGTATTTATAATCTGTTCTTTTGGTATGAGATGATCTCAAAAATAGGAAAAATGGATTACAATCCAACAGGCTTTACAACTTTAAAAGCTAAGCCATACTCCTAAGAGTTCCTACCTAAGAGTGGAAAACTTAAAGATAACTTTCAGTTTCAGAACTGAACAGAAACACACAGCCTTCCAAAAATTTGTGGGATAATTCCATTATCGTTTAATCCATTTTCCCTTTTTTTTGTAGTCACCATCCTGTTTCTCACTGTAGTCCTGAATACCAGGTAGTGCTCGCATGGTAGCAAATATTGCAAGGCTTCCTATGAATATTTTATACTTGTATTTGCTTTTCTTTGGTGCGCTGGTGGCATAGATTAGGCATTGAATTGCTTAACTGCAAGGTTAGTGGTTTGAATCCGTCAATTGCTCCGTGGGAGAGTGATGAGGCAGTCTGCTCCATAAACAGTGATGTCTTGGAGACTTTCTGTTCTGTAGGTTCGCCCTGAGTAGGAAGCAACTCTCTACTAGTGGGTTTTTTGCTTTTCCTAGCATTAAAGAATGGAAAATTTCATGGGAGAACTGACCAACTAATCCGATGTCAGTTAATCTGCTGCTTCTGTGGATCACGATTCAGACTTCTTCAAGTGTGGCTTGTGTTTACTTTCCCGTAGGACCGAGGCTAAGTTTACATGGTGCACATGCTATGATCACTTCGTTTCCTCCCTGCTACCCTCACTTCCTCACATTTTATTTCTCTTCAGGATTATTGTGGTTTATAAAATTTAGTGGAAGATGGGAACATAAAGAGAACAAGGCATTTGGTTCAGAATTAGTGTACCTGGACTACAATTTTAGCCTTGTCACGTGTAATTTATAAGCTCAGGTATTTACTTGGTGCTTCACTTACAAAATGAGAGACTTACAAAATGCCTGCTGTTTGTTAAGGAGTCGAGAATAAAAGGAAATATCTGTGAACGTACTCTTTTCTTCATGTAAGTATAAAGCATTGTGTGCAGTAAGTCTCTCTTTTGCTATATGATTCTTTGAGTTTTGACGAATAACTTCACGTGATGGCCAGGCCACTCGAGATCTAGAATAGTGTCATCATTCTCCAGATGCCATTGCGCCACTCGTTCATGACCAGCTGCTCACCAGCTCTGCCCCTGACAGTTCTCTGACATCCTTCTAACTTGCTTCTTCCAGAATGTCAGGTGTGTGATTTAACATGATGCTTTTGATATTTACCTCTGCTTTTGCACATATTTATATGTCATCCCTTTTATTACTGCATAGTTTTCAATTGCACGGATATGCCACAGTTTATTCATTCACAGGTTGAAGGACCTTTGAATTGTTTCTAATATTTGATGATTATGAGTACATCTGGTGCAAACATTTACATACAGGTTTTGTGTAAATATGTTTTCATTTCTCAGGGATTAATACGTAGGAATTTGGGGTCATGTGATTGTTTTTAGGTGCCATCAAGTCTGTTCCAACCCACAGAAACCCTGTGCACGACCGAACGACACACTGTACGGTCCTGCTCCAGCCTTGCACTTGTTCCTGCGCCCCAGCCCATCGTTGCAGTCACTGTGTCAGTTCATCTTGTCGAGGGCCTTCCCCTTTTTTTCCGTGCTCTGCTATTTACCAACCATGGTATCCTTCTCCGGGGACTGGTGTCTGGACAATATGTCTATGAACGTTTTTTGAAGCCCCTTATACTTTGTAGGATTTTCTTCAATTTAAGTTTGTCTAATGGTTAGATTGTGCTTTTTGGGCAGTGCTATCCCAGAAGTGACATGATGTCATATGATCCATTCCTCATGGTATTCATGAAAGTATTTTGAATACTTGTAAAATACTGTTTTGAAGGTGTTTCACAGAAGCCTCGCTGTAGTTCTGGTTTCCTATATATCAAGTTTCTTCTTTCCCTCACATCCATATTCAACTCACTTTGAACATTGTGTAAACTGCATAGTAAGCACGCTCTAATTATTTGTTGAAAAAATGAATCACTGTCCCTGAGAAGGCCTCTCATAAAAATTACTCGTTTGTAAATCTGTAGAGACAGTAACTGGATTAATGGCTCCTTGTGGATATGGCAGGGAAGGTTAGAGGGAGATGGAAAGCTAATAACCATGAAAGCAAGAATAAAGAAAATATTGTGAAACTGATTGTGGGGATGATTGTATAACTCGCCTAATGTACAACTCTTCATACAATTCAACTGTTGAATTATGTGATATGTGAACTATATGCTTGCTGTAAGGTGGTCGAGAGGCTCCAGAGACCAAATCAGTCGAATTTGAGCAAACAGACTTTATTAGGGAGAAAAACCCAGCCTGGGCAAAGTCCCACAGTCCACAACATCTGGGCCTGGGAGTCACACTCCAGACTACAGGAGTGGTGTTTATATTGCCGGGGAACATGTGACTGGGCTGCCTTGATCCATATAAGGTAAAGTTGTCAGGAATTGGGAGAAAAAGGTATGTCCGGGTTTCTGGAATGTAAGGTGTCTTCCTGGTTTCAGGTGTGTTCGTGCTGGGTGCGGTGGGCAGTGTGAAACGTGCAGGTGCAGGATGGGCTGTGAGCAAAACGGGCCGTGAGTAAAAGGAAAAAAGACTAGCAAAGCTGCTGACAGGTTACATTAGCCAGCTCTGGTCAGCTCCGCAGGTGTGTGTGGGAGATTCAAGGTCACTCCCTGCTAGTTGTTTCAGCTAGCTCTGGTCAGCTTCGCACACAGGTGGGGGAAATTCAAGGTCACTTGCTGCTAGGAGCCAGCCTGATACTGATCCGGCCAGACATATGCCAATATTGGAGAAAAAAAAACAATGAGATAGCCCTTCACACCTACTAATATAGCAGTAATTTAAAAAGATGGACTTGAAAAAAAAAAATCTCTTGTCTGTAAGTATTTTGAAATTTAGTAAACCCAAACTGACTGCATCAAATTGGCGCTGAGTTACAGCAACCTTATAGGACTGCCCCTGTGAGTGTCCCAGACTGAAACTTCACAGGAGTAGAAAGCCCCATCTGTCAGACAGAAATTATTGTAAACTTGATTATGGTGAATTGTACTATAATATGATACTTGGTCAGTTGACCTCTCTCTTGACCCAATCTGAGCTTGCTCTATGCTCAAATATTTCTCGATTATTCCAAGAAAGAAATTTCTTCTCTGGCTTTTTAAATACCGTTGGTGGTTTTTTTCTTTCTTACTCTGTATTTTTTTTAATCTTGATATTATTATTATTGCTTTCTTCTTGCTATCTCATTTTGTTTTTTTATTGTTTCTGTTAGGTTTCCCAGTTTAGGAAGCATAGAAACAAGTTGGCTGCATACAGAAAATAACTGAAACAGTGGTTTATCGGGAAAGGCGGGGAGGGGGATGGGAGCGGATTGTGGTGATGTATATACAACTCTTATTAGAATTAGAAGTGGCTTATCTATGTAAGTGTATGATATGTGGATATTATACCATTAAAAGTAATTTAAAAAGAAACCAAACTTGCTTAGGGAGTGTCAGGGGAGCCAGCCCCTAACAAACCATCACAGACCCGGTAGGTGCAATTGCACAGCCAGAATCAATAAGAGTTACAGTGAAGTCATAAAGAATATGAGGGATAATAGAGAGATTGAAATAATGAAGTCACATTTTGTGGTAGCATGCTCACCTCAGCTCCTCTTGGTGTTTCAGGGCAGGAGAGAGAGAGAGAGAGGGAGAGAGATTTATTGCTAACCAAGGCTTATATAGCTTTTGGGGACGTGCAAGCCCCTAATTACAGGTAGAGGTATACGTCACAGCAAAGGGTTGTACTCTAGGTAATACAGTAATGGGAGGGGGACAATCTAGGTGTATACTCGCAATAGGAAGAGGAGGGATTAAGGGTAAACAGGTAACAAGATGGATGGATCCTAGATTCTTGACTGTGGCCTAACCTTGATTGACCTACAGCTGGAGACTTGAGTTAGTCTAAGCTTTGAGGGGAAGCAATCCACTGTCCCTAAAAGCAGGGAGTGAGCCCTGCCTACTGTGGGAGAAACAATGATGTCTGCAATCCACTGTCCCTAACAGCAGGGAGTGAGCCCTGCCTACTGTGGGAGAAACAACGGTGTCTGTTTGCTCTGGTTGCCTGGAGTCTTGTCTTCGGGCAAATAACTTGATAATCATTCACCATTAGTTATAAGCATTGTCCTAAGTCTAACACATATATATTTGTCCATGTAATGTGTATTTTAACGAAAGGTTATGTAAGCCCTGGAAAAAAAGGCCTTGTAATCTGCTTTCCAAAGGACATCATCCCTGACAACCCCGAAGAGTGCAGTTCTGCTATGAAACCCAGAGTCCCTGTGATTCAGTGGACTCCAGGGAGGCTGGGACTGAGGTCCTAAATAAACTCTGCTGCTGAATGTTCAGTGGCATGCAGCCAGCAAGTTCACATAGGACATGGGGTGCTGCCCTTTCTGGAACTTTCATGTTCAAGACTTTCTTGATAACCTTCCACATTTGGCAAGAACGGAGAAGCTCAGGACATGCTGACAAAGTTCTCTAATTCTCTCGTGGTGTTAAATGGCAGTTTGGTTAGAAAGCTATACACACTAGACGGCCTTTTGGGAATGCATGCTCTTGCCTATTGTAACATAAGGCAATGTGCATAATTGGAAGTTTAGAGGCAAATTTATCAAATATTACTTCTGGATGTGATCAATATTCTATTTTTGAATCCATTGCCAACAGGTCCTTTCTGGCTCATTGACACTGTATGTCAGAATAGAAATGCCCCACAGGGTCACTGGGACTCCAAATCTTTATAGAAGCAGAGTGTTGCCTCTTTCCTCCCCCAGAACGGCTGGTGGGTTTGAACTGCAGACTTTGGGCTTAGCAGCCCTCACCAGTGCTCTTTGTAATAGATTTGAGT